CCTAGAGGGTCACACACATATGGTAGGCATTGCGATGAGTAGAGGTTCAGATATGAGATATCCGACGAAGCCCTTGTCTTATTGGATGCAGATCCAATACCCACTAGGGGATGACCCATTAGGGTTTGATAGGGGATCTCTATAAATATGAGGGATTCAGAGCCTCATAGGCTAGAGCCTTTGCTTGCCTTTCCTATTCTCCTCTTCCTCTCCACCTCATAGCAGGCCTGGAGTTTTGAGGAGCATCGTCGCAACCCTGTTGTGTGGATCATCGCTAGAGAGGAGGACGCTTGACCTCCTTCACCCTCTCCTAAGGATCTGCAAGGAAATAGGGATATACAATCTCCCTAGGTAACACAACCTACTCTATACGCAGTTTTAAGTTTCGCGGATTTTGTGCACCAATCTTCGCACGACGACGAACATTTCTTTGAGAATCGGGGATTTTGTTTTCTTGTTCTTCCGCTGCGCATGTGATGTCGCCCCCAAGATTTCCCAACAATATGTGCAGAAAGCAGTAAGCTTTTGAGGAGGTTTGCAGTAAAGATAAGATGCTCAAAGTAAATGCAAACCGGGATTTAGAGTGGTTCAGTCAATCTTGACCTACTCCACTTTTGGCTTCCTCCACCGACGAGGTCACCGACGTCGACGAGGTCACCGATGTCAACTAGAGGCCTTCATTCAATAGGCGAAGGCCAACCACCGTTTTACAGTTTCACTTCTTTTGACGGGCTTAGGAGACAACCCTTACAGAATTTCCTTTCTTCTTTTAACAGATTAGGACTTGGAAGAAAAGAGGAAGAAGAACTTTCAACTCATACAACACTTTTGAGCTCTAAAAATCACAAAGTAAAATCAGAATTTCGGTGGTTTTTGGGTGCCCTTTCGGTGCTGAAAGGGTGGGGTATTTATATGCCCCAACCCAGTTTAAATCTGGAGCTCAAAACTATCAATTCCCGGAATTCCGGGATCTAGCGGTTGCACCGCCTGACTGAGGCGGTTGCACCGCCTAGCAGAGCTCGAAGACTGAGCCTCTAGGCGGTGCCACCTCCTTTCAGGGGCAGTTGCACCTCCTGCCAGAGCTCGAAGACCAAGCTCAGGCGGTGCCACCGCCTGACTGAGGTGGTGCACCGCTCAGCCAGAGCTCGGAGACCGAGCCCGGGCGGTGCCACCTCCTGTCAGGGGCGGTTGCACCGCCCAATCTTTCTCGGAGACTGAGCCCAAGCGGTGCCACCGCTTGGCTTGGGTGGTTCAACCGCCTGGCAGAAATCAGGATCTGAATGGGTTGATCCATTTGGCCCAATTTGGGTTTTACAAGGGCCCAATTGCCCCAAGATTAAGTTAATGGGATCACCTCCCATTTTCAACTTAATCATTGTGCTAACTTCGATATTTCCTAAGACATTTACTACAACTTGCTCCAGTGCGTCAATCGCTTCTTCCGGCGAACTTCCGTCGATCATCCGATGAACCCTCGGTGATGCTCCTACGGACTTCCGGCAAACTCCTGGACTTGCGACGATCCACTTGGCGAGTTCCGACGAGCTTCTTTGGCAAGCTCATGGACTTCTCGGATTTGTTCCCGCAGAACCTCCGACGACTGTCCGAACTTCCGTCGAACTCTCGAACTCCCAACGTGATCATTGTCTTGATTCCGGCGTAACTCCTACTGCATATCTTACTTTCATCGTAGTTAATCCTGCACACTTAAAACAAAACTTCGATTGAGATAATTAATCCTAAGCAATTAACCAAGTTGTCCGGCATGTCATTGGTCCCTCGATGCTTCGTCCGATTCTTCAACGCATCGTCCTCTCTTGTAGCCTATTGCTCAATCGGCCAGTTGACTCCGCAACTCCGATATCCTTGGCACAATACCCGCTCTTCTTGGCCCGATGCCCGAGTCCATGGCCCGAAGCCTTCTGTCGATACGTCGACCGATCCACCGGCCCGACGTCCAATCTTCTAACATGTTCCTCTGGCACAACATGATTTTCCTGCTTTAATTGTCTCATCCTGATCGAAGCATCCTGCGTCACTCAAAACGCAGATTAAATCATAAACATATATCAAGTAGTTTCATCATCAAAATACGAGATTCAACAGGGATGACGAGCTGGGTCCGATGCGACAGTCGAGTGGTGCAGGAGTGGTGGTGATTAAGTGAGTTCGGTGCAACAATGGTGAGCAATGTAGGTGAGGTGACGGTTGAGCAGTGCAAGAGCTGTAATAGTCGAGCGATGTAGGAGTGACGATGATTGAGTGGGTCCAATGTAGTGCAGTCAAGCGATTAAGGAGAGGCGATGATCGAGTAATGTAAGAGTAGCAGTGCAAGCGCGACGACGATGAGTGTTGCAGGTGCAATGGCGGTCGAGTAGTGCAAATCGAGTAGGTGCGGTGGGCGAGCGGTGGGAAGTAGGTCAACAAGAGGAGAGGAAGAGAAATCGGTTAAGGCGAAAAGTGAATATAAATTTAATAATTAAAAATAATAAAATTATATTTTTATCATTTTTATTCATGCTTTCTTTGCACGTGATAGCACATGTATTTTTTTTCATCGGTGAAGTAGAAGAATTGGAGTTAAATGTTTCACTTTCGTAAGTGTAGGAACCGAATGTTACTTTTTAAAGTATAAAGACCAAGATACTAATCATAGTTAACTATAGAGAATAATATGTAATTATCCCATAATTTTATCATAATATGATTCTAACAAAGATCTTAATATTTTTATATTTTTAAATAATTATTTATCAAATTTAATATATTTTTGGGTTAGTTATCAATTAATGTAATTTAATTTATTTTCGAGTACAATTAAGATCAAATTGGATCAAACCATTTCAAGTTTTCATAATTATATGAAAACATGATTCCAAAAGGATTTGTACTAGTTTTCCTATTTTATAATAATTTTATGATAATTAATTATCTAATTTAGTATATTTTTGGAACAGGTATTAAGAATGGATATATTTTAGTTTATTTTCTTTAGTAACAAAGTCAATTTCCACCAAATGAGATTAAATTTTCATAACTTTGACTCCACCAAACGATTTCTGGATGAGGTGGAAGGAGGACAAGGAATTCTAAATCGGTTCTGGATCATTGATCCATACTGATTCGCTGACATGAAATAATTCAAAAAAATTACGAGGGTAAAAATTATAACTACGAAAAAAAATACATAAAACACTATGAAGGACATCTGATAAAAAATAATTATGAGGGACTACTCGATAAGTCGTCGAAATTCGGAAGTAAAACCTCTTTGCATCCTTTGCAATGGCAGATATGTAAATCTGCTAAAAAAAACGAAATCCTGCCTTCCATTTTTTTCCCCATCCGTTCCTGTAGGGTTTTAGAGGGCCGCCACGAGAGACGATCAGGGGAAATTTCCCCGTGAGCTCCTCAGGGATCGTCCCGCTCTCTGAGGGAGGAGCCGGTCTCATACAGCGAGAGCCGCAGGACAAGGCCCTCCCTCATCCAAGACGACGCCTTGCAGCCGCTGCGGCGGAAACCTGGCGAGAATGGCGATGGGGTTTTCCATCCACGGGGGCGCTATCAGGCATCCCTTTATCTGCTCCACCTCTCTCTGTCTCTCCTCTTCCCATCGCCGAGCGATCTCCGGCTTCGCTCGGGGACCGCACGTCCACCCTCCGTTGTGCAGGACTGGGTATCGCACTTCTCTTTTCTTCTTTACTTCAGTGTGCATCTGATGTTAATAGGCTCGGATGCTTGTTTCTATTCCAAAGATTACGCTCCTTGCTTCGTTGGGGTTCTCTCGAATTGAACAATTCTTAATAAGCAGTTTCTTTCTTCTCTAAGTTCAGGGCGTATGATTCGGCAACTAGGGTTCCAAGTTAACCAAGGGAAGTTGGTCTGTTTTCTTACGCCTGAAGTTAGACTGAATTGTTACCCTTGGCTTGTACAAATTTTGATCGTCATATGATCCTCTTTCTTTTTTAGTCATTGGATAGTTTGTTTATGCAAATTTTTAGTTTTCTGTTTTGTCTCTTCTTTCTGTTTCTCATTTTTGGTTTCAGTAGGAATCTTTTAAGATGGAAGTATATTTTGGAACCATATTGTAGTACGATTGATCATGGGAAGTACCAAGCAAAAGGTGGAGTCTTGACTTGGGTAATAGGATGATCTGCTGCTGCATTCTTACAGTGGATGATGCCAGCTCAAGTGGTGATAAAAGGAAACCTATGTCTATTTCTCCATTCTTTGTTAATGTAAGAAGCAAGGTTTATAGTTTCAAATAATATCGCCCGGTACGGGCAGTACGTATCGGTCCGATAGGATATCAGTATGCGGACTGGCTGCTTTCGGGTGGTATCGTCTATCGGCGTCGCTCTCCCTCCTTGTTTGTCGGTGACTTCTCTCGACGCGGGGAGAAGAATCCACGATCGCGGGTAGAAAAGAGGAGACGTCGCCTCGACGAAAATGATTTTTTCTTTTACTTATATATATATATATATATATATATATATATATATATATATATATATATATATATATATATATATAGGCGACGTTGCCCTGCGTGGGGAGAAGCGACGTCACCCCGTGTGTGGATAAGAGAGGCGATGTCGTAGAAAAAATTTTATTTTCTGCCCATGTTGTCACGGACTTAGCTGGATTTACCTAAGTCGTGCGGCACCCTTGCGTGTCCGTCCGCAAAGGTCAGCCTCCCCGAAGTCTCCCATTGTGCCCTTAGGACCAACAAAAGAGAGAACAGGCAAGAGAGAACGCCTCAATCGGGATCCACAAGCAAACATCTCCGAAAAAACACTTCATAGACAATGTAAATTACAAACAGATTTTATAAGCTCTGAACAGTGGCACAATAAAGGGTAAAATGGTCCATTACAGACCGAGAATCTCTCGCACGTGTCCACATGACACAACCTTTATTTACAAGCCTAAAGAGGCCACCAACCCAACTAAAATGAGACTATTAAGCCTTCGGCTGCCCCTCTACATGCTGTACAAGGCATAAACATGCCAAAAGACACGGACATACATAAGCATTACATCAAATATCTTGTTTCGAAGTTTGTCCGTGACATTCTTCCTCACTTATTCCTTCGACGTCCTCGTTGAAGCCTTTGTCGACACTGCAACTCCTCACCTTTGCTGAGTCTTCAATCTTCTGCTCCAGCTACAATGTGCCTCTTGGCTCCTAGCTGCTCTCCGCTGCTGCTTTTGAGTAGTCGAACCTTTGATCCGCCATGCTGCTTCAACTCACCAATGACTTTGACTCTGGTGTGGGGTTGGCTGAGTTGTGTTGATCTTCGTTGATTCCTGCGGATCCCCCAGATGAAGGAAAAGACTATCCTTACTGTGCCAGTCTCTCAAATGCCTCATGCTGCTTGAACTGGGTGGATGCTTGTTGGAGCTTTTAACGAGCATCGCCTCGCAAACTTCTGAAGTTTTGGGTCCTTCCTCCACAAAATTTGTTCATTGACTCTTCTTTCACTTAGTTGTCACATCCAAGTAGGTTCGCATCACTTCCGCTTTCGATTGGTATTTTGTTGGGAAATGAAGCGGACAATCTACTCTCAGTAGCATTGATCACCGTTGGTGAGAATTTGACAACTATTGTCTTCCATTATCTTCGAAGGGTCTTTGAACTTGTGCAGAGCTCCTCTGCTGGATAGATAAGAGAATTGGGGTACTCGGTTTCGCCCATTCTCTTAAGAGTTGAAAAGG